TGGGTGACGCTGCTCTGAGGCAGCTCAGTGGGTGCAAACACGTGGGAGCAAACACATGAATCGTAGCTGCGGGCAGGAGGAATATCAGGTGCATCTCTAGGCCCCGAGGGCTCGACTCCTCCACTTAAACCCCTCCCACTGGGGCGGCCGCTCAGTCTCACGGAGCAACCGGCCGAGACAGTCCTGCTCCTGGGCACTGTCCGCCACCCGCCACCTCCCGCTGCCGCACTGCCTGCTCCGGTGAGTACCTGCCGCTCCTTCTCAGGTTCGCCTTTCCTGTCAAGGCTCCTCCCGGCTGGGCTGGGGGCTCGGGCTCAGCGCTGCCCTGCGGCCTCTGAGGGGCACTCGGGACCCAGCAGGTGCATCACTGAGGAGCAGCCTCGGTCACAAAGCTCTTAACGAGGCTGCACTTTGTTCTCAGCCTGTGAACAAGCTCTCCTAGAAACTAAGTCCTCATTTCTGCTATAAAGCCCATAAAGTTTAAAACAAAAGTCAAGTTTTTATTATTGCTCATTGGTGCCTCACCTTAAAAATAAATTATGACAAGTTTCAACCTAAATGGAGGTCCTAGATATGTGATTACACAGTTGCTGGTTTTAATTTACAGTTTGTTCAATTCTAAAACCTTTTAAAGTTTTAAAGTTTAAAATGCACTGTTTTAGCATTAGGTTAAAAAAATTACCAAAGAGGATTCCTATACATACAAAAGGGGGGGGGGTTTCTTCTCCTTTATAGAGCTTTTCATGAATCTGTATGAGAACAACTGCTGACCAATCCCTGGCCCAGTCCGAGCCTCATTTAGGCAGAGCCTGGCTACACCTGCCGCCCTAATTTTTATTTTGCATGAACAAAGTCCCCCCAGCGCTCTGAGCGGGCTTGGTCGGGTTCTGTGGGGGTGACCGAACGCCGGGCCGTGGCGACAGCCCACGGATGCTGCGGCTGGGCGTGTGCTGTCCGGGCTCCGTGAGGAGGGACCGCGGCCGAAGCAGCAGGCGCCCTGCTCGCCCCCGCCCCGCCCCCCGAGCCCTCCGGGAGCCGCCTCCCCCCAGGTCACAGTCACCCGGGAGCTGCCCTGCGCGTTAAAGAACGAAAAGCCTGGGAGGGAGTGGCGGTTAATCACTGGAAAAGCTCAATTGGAGTAAAACTCACAAATCTTGTTCTTGCGACACCCCAGTGGGTAGGCGACAATGGCGTGTCCCTGAGTTACGCAACAACGCCACCTCACAATATTGTGATTATAGCATGCCCTTCACAGCGTCCCGCCCGACGAGGCCCTCGGCCAGACGGCGGGACGCCCCGGGAGGAGCCCTGCAGCCCGGCTCCCGCGCGCAGGCGGGCGGGCAGGACGGGCAGGGCCACCGGCCGGGCACCGCGAGCCCCTCGCGCGCGTGCCGTCCGAGTTCCAAAACACCCTCCTCCTCTCGTCTGTTCTTCAGGGCTCAGGCTTCTTAGGGGCTTTTTACAGCTGCCAGCCGCTCCTGCGCCACGTCCACTGTCCACACCCAGGGGCCCTCAGGACAGGGCAATTCCACACTTCCTGCCCTGCCCCCGACGGAGACCCCGAGGGGGAGGGGGCGGGGCAGCAGCCAGAGCCGGCCTGCCCCCGGCTCTGCCCACAGGCAAAAAAGCCAACCAACTTAGCGTAAGCAGATGTTTAAAATGCTTGAAAAGTCACAAAAAGGACACTTTTAAATGAGGCAGGAAAACCTGTGTGAGGGCTCACAGGCCGTGTCCTCTGCCTCAGTGTGGACACAGGGTGCCAGCGGCTGTGTCCGAACGGACCCGCGGCCAGCGTGCCGTGCGAGGCCCTCCTGGGGCAAGGAGGTGCGTGTGCGGGCGGGCGCTCAAACCGGCTCTGCTCCCAGGCGGGCGGGCAGCCCCGTCGGCGCTCGGGGGTCAGAAACACTCGCGCACAAACCTTGCCGGGACGGCGAACACCTGAACCTGCCACGTTGCCAACGCAAAGCCGAGCCACAGGGCCCCATCCCACTAACCTCCCACCGCGCAGCACTAGCGAGGCACACGCCCCCCGACCCTGCCCCGGGGAAGGGTAGAGGGACACCTCTCAAGTCCCACAGGAGAAACGTCCTCTGAATGCAGATCCACTTCCTGCAAACAGTTAAAGCTCCGGACTGCACTATTTTGGCAACAATGCCCTTCTGGGGGAGCATCTGACACCAGCAGCTTTAGTTCCGTCACCTGCAGCCTCGCTGGCAGGAGCGCTCGCAGGCGGGCAGCGCGCTGCCCCTGTGTCCGCCGTGCTCCGGGGTACGAGCGGCGAGTCTGCAGCCCCGGGAGGCCGGTGCCCTGCCACAGCCGAGCCTGTGACTCCGGGGCAGGCCCTGACTCCCCCGGCGCCCGCCCCGGGGCCTGTTTGCTGGCCTCCTGCTGCCGACCAACAAACTACAGAAACTCTAGGCACAACACCTGAGTTTAAAAAACACCTATTAAGGTAGAGGCAATCACTGCCCAAAGTATCCTTTTGGGTAATACTCTGATAAACTTTCGTGTAATGGCCTCCTATAAACCTGTGAGAAACCTCAACCCGCGAGGGTTTATTCACATTTCTGCCTAAAAGCATCAGCCACGCCAGACGAGGCTGCTTCGAAGCCCGACGTGGTTTTCTTAAGTCCGGAGGGGACTCTTCTCAGCAGACACGCGCTTCCGGGCTGGGGGGCGGGGGCTGAGCACAGTCCCAGTATCGCCGGGACTCTGCGCTCACACCTGATGCACGTGTTGCAACTGTCACCTCTGGGAAGATGCTGCTCGCAGCAAGTGACGAAACCGCCCGTCCTCAGGCCCTGCCGTGACACATCCCGCGCGGCCCTGGGAAGCTGCCTCGCAGAGGTTCTCACGCCTCCAGACCCAGCGCGCAGGCGGACATGCCAGCACAGGCCCGCTGACTTATCTGGCTGGCCCAGCGGGCCGCACGGAAATTGTGCTTTTATCACCCAGAGCGTGCCTGCCCCCCGAGGTGCAGACGGAAGGCTCGTGAAGAATCACTCGCGTCCCCCTACAGTGAGCGGGGAAGCGAGACAGGCGCAGGGCTGTGATTATGAGGGCGACCGGCGTGGCTCTGCCCCAGCCTGGCAGCGGGGGGAGAGCAGGGCGGCCTGCGGTGGCTGAGCAGCCGATGACGCCCAGGAGCCAGGCCCGGGGACCCCCTCCCCACTCTGGGGCGGCCACAAACCGGCCTGCTCATCCACAGCGTGCGCCCCAGGCCCTGCCCTGCAGAAAGCTTAGCATCAGCGAAGCCCCTTCCACCCCAAGTGCTGCAGTAGACAGACGTGCCTGCGAAAGAACTGGGGGATAAAGCAGCTCCCCAGAGGCCGCTGGCAGTGGGGGACTGGTTCTCTGTATTTTTAAGAAATAGGAATAAATGGGCAGAGAAACCAGTTTGCTGAGAATAAAATCAGACAGCTTTCTTACCACTGAAGGGTCCAAGTGAAAATTAAAGCCCCGCCCCCCCCAGCCCAGGACCCATGGCCTCACGCCTCCTGTGGGGACCCAGGGAGCCCTGGTAACTGCCCCACGTGGTGAAGGCAAGTCCCTTCGGTTCCAAAGGCTGCCTTCCTGGTGAGCGGCTCCCCACCTTGTGGACGGGGTGACGCTTGTGCACACACCCCGACCACACTTCCTCGCGCCTTAAAGCAAAACTGCAGCTAAAAGTTTTGTTCAGTCATTCTCTTTATTTTTTAAGCCCCTTGATAATATGTCAAAGCTGAAGACCTTTCCCTTTTCACACTTTCATGCAAATCAGAGGGCTGGGCCTGGACTCCTCACTCCTCTGCGTGGCCTCCCCCACCCCCGCGTTTCTCTGGGACTGGGCAACCCCCGGGCTGGTCCTCCCAGCTGTTCCCGGCTTCTGCGCCTGGAGGCCCAGGGCCCCAGGGTGTGCAGAGTGGCCTCAAAGGGAAGCCAGGGCGGAGACCTCTGTCACACCTGGGAGTGGTGGGCAGGGAAAGGGGCCTGTCAGGGCCCCGGGGGAGAGACAGCGCAGCCAGGCAGGCCCGGGATCTGCGTGGGCACGGCCGAAGGCCAGTGTGGCCCAAGGCCTCCTTGCCGAAGGGCAGAGGTTGGGATGGCTTCCCCCCAGGACCCCACCAGGCACCTCTGGCCACTTCCCCTGAGCACAAAGGCGGTGGCCCTCCTGCCACCTGGAGGTGGGCCAGCCGGGGCAGGGCATGTGCGCAACCCCCTCGCACAGCTCCCGGGAGGCTCTGCTGCGCAGAGCCGGGCGCGTGAGCCTGTGGAGCCCCCTTCTGCCGGCAGACAGCGCAGCCGCTGCCTCGTCCATGCCGACGGGGCCTCCGGGTGGGACTGCGTTTCCGGGTGCGTTTTTAACACCTGCACGCAGAACGCGATGCAACAAAAGGGGGGCAGCCCCATCGAGGAGCCGCCCCTGAACGTCAGTCACAGCGACAGCCCCTGTGTGCCCCGCGAGCGCACGCAGGCCCAGGCCCCGCCTCCCGCAGGCTGCGCAGTCAGGCCACGTGGTGCCAGGACTCAGGCCAGGGACTCTGTGGAGGCGGACGGGCCGGGTCCCCGCCATCCCTCAGCCTCCTCAGGGCCCAGGGGCAGGGTTCCCGAAACCCAGATCGTGACAGGCGCGCTCGGAAGTGACACCGAGCGCCCCGCACACTGGTCCTTGGCCCCACGGCAGCACAAGCCTGTTCCGAGGGGGGCGGCTCCCCCGCCCGCACCCGCGGCCTCTGCTCCCACCCCTCAGCAGGCGAGGTGAGTGGGGACAGGCCTTCCCCGCCGGCCCTTCCACCGGCGTCCTGTGACTAAGACTCTGCTCCTCCACCGCAGCTCCGGGCCCTCAGATGCGCGAGACTCCCGTCGCCAGGCCCACGCCCCGGCGAGCTGGCTGCAGATAAGGCGGCGCAAAGGAAGCAGGGAGAAGCGGCGACGCTCCTTCGAAACCGCCACGTGGGGGTTGAGCCGGACACGGCCGCGCGCGCCACAGGGAGCACCGGAGCCCCCACCGCGGAGAGAAGATGAGTCTCCTCAAAGAGCGGAAACCCAAGAAGCCGCACTACATCCCGCGGCCTCCGGGGAAGCCCTTCAAGTACAAGTGCTTCCAGTGTCCCTTCACCTGCAACGAGAAGTCTCATCTCTTCAACCACATGAAGTACGGCCTCTGTAAAAACTCCATCACTTTAGTGTCGGAGCAAGACCGCGTCCCCAAGTGCTCCAAATCCAACTCTCTAGACCCTAAGCACGCGCACCCGCCGGACACCGCGGCGAAGCCCACCCCCTCCAAGCCCACCGCAAACAGGGTCCCCCACCTGGACACCAAGCTTCCGCTCGGCCTTGCCAAGGACGATGCCAAGGAAAACGTGGAACTGCAGGTGCACAAGGGTGCCGGGCAGAAGCCTGCCCCCCACAAGGAAGGAGCGCGCCTGGGGCCGGCCTCAGAAGCCACCGTGGGCACCCAGCCCGCCCTGGAAGGCGTCATGCGGCCGTCGGCCTTTGTTCCCGTTGGAGAGCACAGACTCAAAGGGCCGGAGCGCACGGAGGGTCCCGAGCCGCTGGCCCTGCCCAGCCCCGCAGCCAAGGCCACCGCCTTCCACGCCAAGTCTGCGTTCCACGCCCCTGCCTACCCGTGGAAAGCTGGCTCACCTTTCCTCCCGCCAGAGTTCCCACATAAAATCCCGCCCACAAAGGGGTTCGGTGCCCTCTCCCCTTACGTGCACCCTACAATCCCCGAGTACCCACCCCACTTTTACACGGAGCACGGACTGGCCACCGTCTACTCACCCTACCGACTGGCCGGGAACTCGCCCGAGTGTGACACCCCCCTGCTGCCCGTCTACGGGGCCCCAGACCACAGGCACTTCCTGCCTCACCCCGGGCCGGTGCCCAAGCACCTTAACCCATCCCCCGCGACATACGACCATTACCGGCTCTTCCAGCAGTGCCACCCCAACCTGCCGGTTCCTTACGGATTTTACAGACCAGAGTCTGCGTTCTCCTCCTATGGTCTCAGACTCCCACTTGTCACTGGCATTTCGCCGGATCAAAGCTCTCAGCTGCTGGAGGAAGCTGCCCTGGTCTACCGGGCCTCCAGTCCATCCAAGTTAAACCCTTCCAACTCCCACAAAAAACACGCAGAGTTTGACAGAGAGAGTCCGACTCCCGAGGCTGAAGACCCCCCCAAAGACAGGCAGAGGGACACAGAAGGGACCAAGATGAGCCCACGTGCGGGCAGCGCGGCCACCGGCTCCCCAGGAAGGCCGAGTCCCACCAACTTCACGCAGACAAGCCAGCCGTGTGCTGGGCTAGGCAGCCTCTCAGACAAGCCCACCTTGAGTGCCCTGGGAAGGCTCCAGGAACCAGAACGGAGCCTCACAGCCTTCAAGCCCATCACGAAAAGCACAGAGCACCCACATTCCCAGGCTCTGGAAAACCGGGACAACTCTCCAAAAAGGTAAGAACATTTCACATTTTAAACACCTCCAAAGCCACGTCTGGGTTGTACTCAGCAAGCTGACTTGCTCAGAAAGCTTCACACAGCAGCTTTTCTAAGCAAGGTCCCTACTAAGCCTTTTCTCTGCCTCTTCCAGCCCCGAAGCCGTGAGCGCCGACGCTCCAGCTCAGACAGGAAGCGCCTGTGGGGGCACAGAAGCCACGCCATCCAGCCCAGAGGGCGGTCCCAGAATATCCCCGCTGAACCTCTCCAAGAAACCGGAGGCCAGGCCGGCAGCCGCTCACAACCCCGTGTGCAAAGACCTCACAGAGCCGCAGGACGTGCCCCTGGACCTCTCGGTGAAGGACCCCTGCAACGCCCTGGCGCCGAGGCCCGCCCTCCACAGCCCGCTGCGCGAGCCGGGACCCGCGGCTGCGGCTCGGAAGGCTGAGCCGGAGGGCTCTGGAGACGGGCCCGACCACTCCGAGACGGCCCAGCACGGCCCTGGCTCCGCTGAGGCGCCCGGGGCCGGCCCCGCTGGGAAGGCCCAGGGCGCACGCGGGGCAGACAGCAGCGACGAGCAGAAGCAGACGGCGGCCGTGGCCCTCTGCCAGCTGGCGGCCTACAGCCCAGGCCCCGCCCGCGCGGGCGACGGGGAGCCCACGGCCCAGGGGTCCCCCTGCGCACACGACAAACCCACTCCCCGTGCCCCAGCGCGCCAAGAGCCTCCGAGCGACCTCAGACCCAGAGGGCAGAAGAGGGCGAGCCCGCGGGACGCGGGGAGGTCCCAGCCGGGGGCCAAGAAGGCGAAGCCGGGCGACTCGGCCCGCGTGCTCACGCTCCGAAGGAGGACTCGGGTGCCGTAGGCCTGCCCGCCCCGCTCGGGCGCCGGGGCCGCGGGGCCACCGGGCCGGCCCGGGCAGCCGTCCTTCCGGGGCGCCTTCACCCCCTGTCTGCTCTACTCCTACAAGGCAGTTTCTCTTCTCAAGAAAACTGAACAACACAGAAACACACACAAAGAGAGCTGCGATTCGGTTCACTTTCTGTAAATATTAAGACTGAATGTTTTAAGGTGCTTCCATTTGGGTTTGTAAAAATATCTGAATGACTCAGAAAACCAATGAGTTAGACACTGGCTTTTACTTTTGTAAAATATCGAATGAAATAGGTCAAACTAGAAGATAACTTTTAGGTGTAAGCCACCTCATAGAAAATCTTTTAAAAATACTTTTCTTACAAGTATCTTCACACTAGAACACTTTGTCAACTATGTTACTAAATCGCCTGTGTTTCGAAGTAAAAAACTGGAAATGCCAGAGGAAACGTTTTCAGTACTAGCATGCAAGCGTCATATGTAAAAACACTGTGATTTCTTATGACTGAATAATACACAACTACCAAGAGGCTATTTGTACAAATAATTTATTTCCAATAGGGAAAACGTGTTACTGGTGAAGCTGTTATCAATATATTTTATTCTGTATAATGTTACAGTGAGTTTTCTGACTCACTCAGCCTCATTTTCCACTTCCTAAAATCATGTATAAATTGCTAATTTTCCAATAAAGTCATAGATGAAATTTAAGGGGACACAAAATGAAGACAAACATGAACTGTGTAATCCTTTGTATTTTGCCATAATAAACTTAAAGTGAAAACAGAGACAAGAGCTGAGGCAGCAATGAAAACAAACAGAAAAAGAGTGTGAGCATGTGAGCGTGTGTGTGCATGTGTGTGCGTGTGTGCGCGTGTGCGCGTGAGCGCGCATGCAGACCAGCGGTCAGCGAGCCCAGGCACGGGCACCACTGGGGCTCCTCGGAGACTCTCCAAGGGCCCTCAGGCCGCAGACGGGTGCCCAGAGCCTCCGCTCCTAAAACTGCCACCTGAGGAAGGCCGGCAGCAGTCCCCTGCCTCCTGACAACAGCCCATCCCCCACGTGCCACCGAGACCACCTGGGGTGTCAACGAAGGATCCCCGGAAAAGTGAGTGGTGCTGAGGGCGGGAATCAGTTCAGTGTCTGGGACAAAGTCCTCAGCCAGGCAGGTGGTGGTCACCAAAACGCAGGCCCAGTGACATCAGAGGACAAACACTGCTCCAGCAGGAGAGCCATCCCCAGCCACCTGCGCACATAACAAGGCCTCTGGACACAGAGCTAAAAAGGAACACTTTTTAAATAAAAATACAGTAAAATATTGATGCAGACTCACCTCGTCCTACACATGAGCGCTACTCACCAAAGGGGAGCCTGAACCGAAATCCACCTTGTGCAGAGCTGCAGTCCAGTAAAATGCTATTTGCTGTCGATGTGATCAACTCTGTGCTAATGACTTAATTTTTTAAAAACTCTATCTTGAAAAACTTAGCACCTTGTGGCCACGGGAACGTGACAGCCAGCTTCTACTCAGAGGGCGCCCGGTGCCACAAGGCCCGCGTGCAGAAGGCCAACACCACGTGCTGGCAGCACGCGGGGAAAGCAAGGGAGGCGCAGGACGGGGGGCAGGCGCGGGACAGCGACCCCACCGCGCGCCTCCCGGCCGGAAGGGGCGGGCGAGGCTCGTTGAGCGACAGGATCCAGAGCAGCAGGGAGCGCGCTCTGCAGCCGAACTAACATCCGACCCCTGGTGTCGGCTCAGAGGGGGGCAGAGCTTGTCAAGAGGCTCTCGGGCGCCCACGAGACCACCAATACGAAGGGCCCTCGAGCATCGAGAACATCCACACACCACCAACTCCAAACACGGCTGTAACGGTCCAGCCCCCGGGGCACACGGGGCCCTTCTGTTTCTGACACCAACACGTCTAACAAAAACCAGAAGGGACCGCCCCTGTCCTCTTGCAGCTCCACGCCCTGCAGGAAGCAGAGCCATGTCACAGGCCGAGACCCTGACTCAGGCCCAGAGCCTCGCCCTGCAGACAAGCTCTCACCTACTCAGCACACGCCTCCCTCCCCCTGGACCACCACGTCCCTCCCGGTGACAAGCGCAGCGGCAGCGCACGCGCTCACAATGGCCCACAGCACCCACGGCAGCGGACACGGGCGCTGGGGACAAGATAACCGCAGACATCACAAAGGCTCGCGGCCCCAACCGTGCAGCCTGGGGAGCCGAGGGAGCTCGCACGAGAGGGAGGGGGAGCAGGGTGCTCCTGCCCACACGGTGTCAGGCAGGGAGGGCGCAGGCCCGGCGCGGGTGCGCGTGGACCACGCCGGGGAGGCAGGGGCGCCACGGGCAGGGCAGTCCCGTCACACAAAGCCAGCGCGGCAGGTACTCACCGTCCGGGAGCCGCGGAGGGAGCAGCAGGCCTCTCCGGCCCAGTTCTGCCAGCGCCAGGCACCCGCCATGCCAGGCGTCGTCCGTCTCCTGAAAACTAGAGCACACAGGCCGCCTGAGACCACGGTGTTTCCCTCCGAGGCCGAAGCCCCAGCCTGCGCCTTGACCCAAGCCCGTCTGTGAGTTTTTCAAACATCTGTGGGCTCAGGAAATACAACACCCCCATCTAAGTGGAGAGCACTGCCCGGCTCGGCCCTCCCCTGCAGCGGCCGCAAGGCGAGCCCCGTCCTGGCGAGCCCCCCGCCACGGCAGGTGCCCCGGGGCTGCACGCCAGCCACCCTCCCCCAGGAGAGACGTCGAAGCCTGCGGCGTGTGGTCCTGGGCTTGCCCCGGGCTAGCCCTGCAGGGCCGGCGGGGGCCACACCGTGGCTTCCTGACTCGGGGGACGGATGGATGGCTGCACCAGACTCAGGAGACGGGCAGGGCGGGGGTGGCGGCCAGCGGAGGCTCCTGGCAAAGCCCCTCCGGGACTGCACAGCACATGGCCTGGCCCAGGACAGCAGGGAGTGCAGGCCATCCTGGGAGCAGGGGGGCCTGCACTTAGAGCTGATGTCCAGTTTGTGACCCATTTCAGAAAAGGCTGGCAGCTCACGTGTCCCAGAAGGACACAAAAGGAAGGACGAGAACGGAGCGGCTGCTGTGCCCCGTCCCTCCCGCCCTGGCCCCCTCACCGCCCGTCACCCAGCTGCGCCTCTGTCTCCACATCTCGAAAAGCCCTGACCTGTGGCGGACTCCTCGCTTCGCCACCAGCAGGTGTCTCAGGCCTGCGGTGGGCAGGCGCTGCCAGAAACAGGCGGCGGCGTGGACGTGTGCGGGCTGCTGCCCAGGGACTCGGGGCAGGAGGGCCTCCCCCCAGGCCCAGCCGCAGACCCGGAGCTCGGCCCGATGACAACGTGCAGGCCAGGAGCACCCTGGGCTGAACTCACGAGGACGGGAGAAACTGGGCGAGGTCTGTGGGCTGCAGAGAGGCCGTGCGCCTGACCACAGACGGGTCTTTCAGCAGAAAAGGTGGGCCCCACTGCGGGGAGGAGCCTCGGGCAGGGGTGCAGTGGGCGAAGGGGAGGGAGAGGCTATGCAGGGGAAGGCCCAGTGGGGTGGGCGGGAGGGGCAAGTAGGGGTACTTCCTGCAGAGCAGCTTTAACAAACCACAGGGAAAGAACAGAAAAGAGGAAAGAAGAAAAAGCTGGAGACGGCTCTCCCTGGAGAAGGGGCCGGAGGGAAGACTCCCAAATGCTCTCTCCGAGTTCTGCCCTCCCCCGAGAACAGGACGCTCCACCGCGGCCACACCAACGGCCACCCCTCAGTGGCCACCTCCGCGCCCTGTGGGGTCCCAGCGCCAAGCACATCTGCCACTGCCCCACCAGAAAAGCGCTCCAGGAAGATGCCCTCAACCAAGCCGGCAGAGCTGCCGGGGAGAGAGGAAAGCCCACCCTGGCAGGCCCCGCGCAGCCCGCGGAGGAGCGTGTGTGTCTGCAGGAAGTGAGACGCCTCCACGAGAAGACACTCGGGCCGCATGTGCACCATTATTCTGAAAAGGATGACCCACATCTGACACATTGTCTCCCGCACTCTTTAAATTGCCGCCGAGCAGGCCCGAGGCAAAGCACGAGGAGAAGCCTGCTCAGGGGCAGCGCGGCTCAGCGGGAGGCTCGCGGGGCTGCCCGGTGACACCGGTACCCAGGAGTGCTGACCGCGCACTTCCCGCGCGGCGGCCCCAGAAGAGCAGCCACCGCTAATGAGCACAGGGGCACGGCCAGGACCCAGCCAACAGCCCCCGCTCCCCGCCCCCTGCTTCTGAAACCGGAGACACTCGCACACACAGGGACCCCAGGAGCGACTGCTCGCGGTGCCGGCCACCGACACACGCGCTCGCCCCCCTGGACACACCGTGCTGCCCGGGGCTCGGCCCTGCCCCCGACCCGCAGGCCCCAGGCTCACGGCCCAAACCCACCATCACACGCCCTGGCCCACACCCGTCTCGGGCAGGCCACCTGCTCCCCGAGTCCCCTGAGAGGCTGGACAGTCACAGTGCCGCCACCTCCACATCTGCCTACTTAAGTTTAAGCCCAGTAAAGTTCAACAAAACTTACAATTCAGACCTCGGGGGTACTGGCCCCTTTTTAAGTCTCAATGGCCACAAGTGGCTCGTGGCTGCCCTAGGAGATCCAGAACATTCCACCTTCACAGGCCAAGCCAGGGGACAGTGCAGACCGCAGGTTCTAAGAATACCTGCGTGTGTGCACGCACGCATTGTTCAGGACTGACTTTCTTTTTCCTTAAGGCTTTTAAATGCAATGGAATCTAAGCTGATAAAATAAACATACCAGAAATATCTGGAGTTCTCCAATTCACTTCAAAAGGAAAAGAAAGAGACATTCTAAGGCTCTGACAAGCAGCTCAATTTAACAAAACGTAAAAGGACGTAAGAAAAGCCACGGCTTCCCGCCACCTACCTGAAACAGTCCAGCACCGACCCCACCACCTCGTCCGCCAGCTCCTGGGGAAGCCTTCCGGCCACTCTGCCGATTCTGGAAAAGACGGGCAGTCCCTCAGCACCGCCAGCCCATCGTGGGGGCCGCACGCCGGACCAGGAGCCACCCCGAGCACCCTCCCTCCCTCCAGAGAAAGGGGGTGCAGAGGCTGAGCAGGCACCCACTGGGCTGCCGAGAAGGCTGCGCTCCCAGGGACCCCACCCCCAGCTCTGTGTGTGCCTGAGGGCTGACGCCGAGGGGGTGGGCGTGTGGTGTCCGCTGATGGCGTTCGCACCTGACGGAGGCCCCGCTTCCACACTGGACACCGACCAAAGGCTCTCATCAGGCCGCCAGACGTGGGACTGGCGTCCTGACACAGCCCGTCAGCCCTGGTCGGGGACTAGGCGCCGCAGGAAGGCCCCTGCTTCCCAGCCCATCCCGCGCCCACCAGACTCGACGCTGGACTCAGAGGCTGCCCTGTGCCCCCGGAGCCCAGGCACGCAGGCGTCCGGACGGACCAGCACAAAAGCGCGGGGAACCTCTGGCCTTGAGGGGAGTCTCCAACCCCCAGCACCTTCACCCCGTTCTACTTCTCTCCACAACAGAGGGCACATCAACATCCCCCGGTGCCTCTGCCCCCGCGAGGGACTCTGGCCATCCTGGGGCAGGCCTGGCCCTGCGGGGCGGGTGCCTGCTCGGTAGGCCAGCCCCTCAGGCATAACAGAGGGTGAGGGCCAGCCCTGCTCTGGGCACGCACTCTTAATTCTGCCGGTTCTAGACAGAAAGGCAAGACAAAACAGGGGCCTCAAGTGAACGTCAGTGATTGTCTTTAAAATTAGGACACACAGCCCTGACCAGGGAGGCTCAGCTGGTTAGATCACCGTCTGGACAGGCCAAGGTTGTGGGTTTGACCCCCAGTCAGGGCTCATACAGGAATCACCAATAAATGCCTCAAAGAGTGAAACAACAAATTGATGTGGCTCTCTCCCCCCTTTAAAAAGACTAAATAAAAATAAAGTGAGGGCATAAGACAATAAACACACATTAGAGAAAGTCTGCGGCTCTGGGAGCCCCCAGGCCCAGCCCTGCGCTCGGGGAGACGGCGGGCACCTACCCCTTGGCCGCAGACCACCGCACGACCGTGTCCTTGTCCTTCAGCCCGGCCAGCAGCTGCTCTGGAGGGAGACAGGAAGGCGGGTCCGTGAGCTCTGGAGCCTCTGCCTCGCCCCCGCGCCCCCACCCCGCCACGGCGCCTCGCTGAGCGCGTGTGTGAGGGCGCGGCGTGGAGAAGCTTCATGCCGGTTCCAAGAAGAGTGTCCCCTCCTCTCGGCTTCGACGTCTGCCCGCTGAAGCCCACTCCTGCCGCTGCTCCTAGGCAGCAGGTCCACCCACCAGAGCAGCACAGGGGGAAAGCAGCCGACAGGCCAGAGTCCACGCGGACTTCAGCCGGGTGGGGAAGGATCCCCAAAAATCACAAGAGAAGCCCTAAGTGGACAGGGTCCTGGGGATGGGCCAGAGTTTAGGAAAAGCCACGCCAAGGCCCACAGAAAGTTGGGGCAGCGACCCGGGCCTCAGGGTCAAGGCCCCGCAAGTCCAGGGGGCCGAAGGCTCGACAGAGGAACCCAGGCCGCCGGGGAGGGCCTGGCGTGCGGACGACCCTGTGAAGAAGCCTTCTGTGCGAGGGGGAGGCGGCGAGACGCTGTCCTTCACCACAAGGAGCCGGACGGTGGCTGCCGGAGCGCAAGCCCACGGCGGGGAGCGCGAGACCCCAGCGAGGCGTCAGAGGGGGGCTGACAGAGGCTGCCCCGGGGCGGGGCCTGGTCGGAGGCGAGAGTCGGGGAGTAGGTTCTACTGAGGACGCTGCCCCCGGGCACAGCAGGAGCCGCCAGCCTCCAGGGCGAGAGGGCAGGTGGAGACCTCTGTGGGACGGCTGCGGGCAGCAGGGACTCCGGGTGAGGCCTGGGGGAAGAGCACTGGGGTCCCTGGCGGGCACAGGCCGTGAAGTGGGAATGCAGGGCCGGCAGCTACGGGCGGGAGTTCTTTCTCAGCGGGACAGGGTGGGACTGCAGGCTGGGGCACAGGGAAGGGGGCAGTGCCAACGGAAGGACCTCGGTGCCGGCTGCAGCCTCGCCCCGCCACCCAGGCTGCCCCTCAGGGCCGCGGCCACGCACCTGTCACGCGCTCCACCTCCTCGGGGACGTCGTAGCCCTCCTCGCTGTCGGGAGCCTCTGTGTGCGCCCGGGGCTCCCTCTGGCTCTGGGTGGAGGCCTGCAGGTTAGCGGCCAAGGAGCGGCAGCCACGCTGGTACCTGCGGGGCCCACACGTGACCTCAGACCCGCTGTCACAGCTCACAGTCCAGCCAACAGTCTTGACGGCTGCGGGTGGCCACTGAGTGTCACCTGGAACCTCAGCCTGTGGAGCCTCCGCGTGTCCACGGAGACACGGCAGCAGGAAGACAGTCTGCACTGTGCTCGGCCAGGGTCGCCAGCGAGAGAGAGACAGAGACGGAGACCGGACCCCGCGGCCTCAGCAGCCGCAGGACACAGGCCCCAGCCCCCGCGGCCAGACACCCTCGCCTGCGGGCGCCCCCTCGGGGTGGAAAGGCAGGGAGTGCGCAGGGAGTGGCAGGGGCCCCCAGGTTCTGCCCCACCCAGTGGGGGCCAGGGCACCACCTCCTGACCATCTCGCTGCCTGTTTCCCCACCTGTAAACCCAGGCCCTGCACAAGAGGGCTGCAGCAAGGACCGATGCGGGCGCGTGCAGGAGGCATGGGGGCCTCCTCCAGAGCCCAGGGCTGGACACCAGCCCTCCCTCTCTGACGGCTGCCCTAGGAGGGGCCCAGGAGACAGACTCGGGAAGGGCCCTGCGACGGCAGCCGGCAGGGACGCGGGCCTCCCTTCCTGAGGGCAGGCCAGTCCGCACCTTCAGGAGCTTCTCGGGAGCCTGGACCCGAGGGCCCCGCAAAGCCACACCCAGGTCCCTGGACCACTGGAAAGGCAGCATCAAAAATGCACTGTTTCGCCCCAGCTGGTGCGGCTCAGTGGACTGAGCGCCGGCCTGCAAACCGAAAGGTCGCCGGTTCGATGCCCAGTCGGTGCACAGGCCTGGGTTGCAGGCCAGGTCCCCAGCAGGGGGCACGCGAGAGGCAACCGATCAATGTATCACATCGACGTTCTTGCCTTCTCTTTCTCCCTCCCTTCCCCTCTAAAAGTAAATAAATAAAATCTTTAAAATAAAATCAATAAGCATGTCCTTGAATGAGGAAAAAATGCACTGTTTTAAGCTGCTAACTCTTGGGGGACACTGTAGCATGGCTGTGACATTGTCATTTGTGATAAATACACAGGGAGAGAAAAGGGTTACCGTTGTATGTGAAACAGTTCATTCCTTTTTTTTAATAATTACTGCATTATTTTCCATAGGAACAACTATAAACCTACTTTTGCCCCACCCTGGGTACTGGGTCTTTGCCCATTCCTAGATTAAGGTGCCTTTTGTTATGTTAATGAGGCGATTTGGGAAAGTCCCCGAGAAAGGGGCTGGTTGCCAGGGAAACCAACAGCGGGACTGGAGGGCTGGGGAGGGAGAGGCGCTGGATGCCGACCCAACCCCCGGGAAGCAGGGGTTCAACCCTGTCTGCAGTGAAGCCTCCACAAAACCGGAAAGGATGGGGCTCCGGCAGCTCCCAGGTCAGTGCTGAGGGGGCGGCGTTGGGAGGGCGGCACCTGGTGAGGGCCTGGAAGCTCCGCCCCTTCCCACACCTGCCTGTGCATCCTTTCGCCAGGCTGCTCCTGAGCTCGGTCCTTCCGTGAGGAGCGGGTGATCTAGCGAGTTCTGGGGGCCACTCTAGGGGGGTCCAGTGGGTCAGGGGCGCAGCGACAACCTGGCCCTGTGACTGGCACCCGAAGGGGGCGGGGCACTCTCATGGGACCGAGCCCTCAGCCTGCGGGATCGGACACTCTCCTCAGAGGCAGTGTGAGAACTGAGCTGAAATTGTGGGGCCGCCAGCGGAGGTCACAGAATTGCCCGGTGTGCGGGGACGCACGCAGCGGCGCTGGTGTCAGAATCGAAGCAGCCCCAGGCCGCGGTCCAGGCCCCGGGGCCGCCCGCCCAGCATCTCCCCTGCGCCCGGCAGGCACGGGGCAGCTGTCACCGCCTGGCCTCCCGTGAGCGCACACCGACCCCCTGCAGGAGGAGCAGCCGCCTTCACGCCCAGGCCCCAGAGCGCCGGGAACGAGGACGGTGGCCGCCTCGGCCGCCATGGGACTCACCTCCGACCGACCGTGAACTGCGAATCCCGGACACGACAGGAGTGACCGGTGAGCGCAGCTCAGCCCCGGCCCGGCTGCAGTCCCTCCGGGCAGGGGGCCCCCGCCCGGCCCTGCGCACCCACCCTCACCGCTGCTTCCTCCCAACAGGGGCTTCTACAACAGAGCCAAGCAGTGCTGCAGGGTGGGCGCCGAGAAGGCCCGCACTCAGCAAAGGGGAGGAAAGGGAGCCCCGGGGAGGAGCCCGGTGCGGCCCTCTGCCAGGAGCCTCTGCCGGGAGCCTCACCGGAGCCGCGGGGCCACCGACGAGGCGCCGCAGGGCCAGCCCCGTGCCCCTCGGCAGGAGAGCAGCCAGGAGCTGAGCGGCTTACAGGCTCAGAGGCCAGCGATGCTGGGGAGCCCCCCAGAGCTGGGCCCGGCAAGAGGGGAGGGGGCTGGGGCTGGGGCTGGGGCAGTGCAGGAGGAAGGGCTGTGCTCCAGGTGCAAAGGCCTCAGGAGAAACCCACCCTGAGCAGGCACCGGACGCCCAGACCGGAGGGAGCAGCACCGGCGAGGTACTGCCCTGCCCCTCGAGGAGGGTAACCAGCGAGAGCGTGGTGCTGAAAGACGCCCCCGAACGCCACAGAGGAAAACAGCGGGAAGACGGACTTCGACCCAACCGTGCTAATAATTACATTAAAGCGTATGAAAATTTAGACGGAAAATAAAAGGATGCTAAGTAATTTTTCTTCCCATGTAAATGTACAGCATTTGTGGTGGTTAATTTTAATTTGTGTGTCAACTTGACTAAGTGCCTGAGTCCCAGACGTTTGGTCCGACGTTACCCGGCGGGGTCTGTCGGGGGTGGGGGGGTTCGGAAACCAGTGGACTGAATGAAGAGGCTGCCCCTCGCCGCGGCGGCGGCCTCACCCGCTCAGCCGACGGCCTGACCCTCCCTGCGTCGGAGGGAGCCCCGCCTGCCTTCAGCCCCGAGCTGGGACCTGGGCCAGCCTGCCAGCCTTCCGGCAGGGCCGCACCATCGGCTCCCCGGCCTCGGGCTGTGAGGGGCTTGCCAGCCTCCATAATCACAGGAGCCCACTCCTGACGCGTCTCTTTGCCCACACTGCACTGGTTCTGTTTCTCTGGAGAACCCTAATTCCGTACTGAACATTAACTTTCTAGGGTACTTTGGAAACTAACCACTAACAGCCAGTCTCCCAAACAACTCCTTGTAGAAGAAGCTGTATGCAGAACAGCCGAACGGCGTTTCGGCAAAACAGTGCTAAAACGTAGGACACGTCTGCGGACCTTACTATGTATAATTAGAGCCGAAGACTGAGCTAAGCTTGTCAAATACTTCCTCCCAAACCACACAGATAATACTCGAAATAAAACTGAACACTGTTAGAAGTACGTCACCCCAAGCTAAATGGAAAAGCCTGTTTCCCAAGGAGCAACGACCTCAGGAGCACCCTGCCAGCCCCGCAGGGCCCCCGACCACTGAGACGGCGCTTCCGTCGGCGGGCGGGTGCCCGGGGAGCCTTGGGGCGCAGATGTCTCACGGACCGCAGCGCCCTCCCCCGGCACTGCCCCTGCGGACCCCAGGAAACTCAGAAACAAGCTTTCCGCAGCACTGCTGCAGTGCTAACCGGAAGATGTAGGGCCAGAAAACGCAAAAGGAAAACTGTCCCTTTCAAAATCAGAGATGCTGAAAAAAAAAATGAAAGAAGACCCTCTCCCAGTCTGTCCACTTTAGCACAGCCACCGAAAGCAGGAAGCAGGGCGGCCACCGCATCGGCCTCGCCCACAGACGCACAGGCCGCCCACGGCCCTCTCTGGCTACGCACCTCCACTTGGCCACCCGGGGCTTCAGGAAGGTCAGGCCCAGCCGCTGCACAAGCTTCACCGCGAGTTTCCGGAGCAGGGTGTGGCCGCCATCAGGGAGCCCGCAGCGGTCCAGGCGCTCGAGCACGGTGGCAGCTGCGAACGACAGTGCCCGCAACTCCGTTTAGCGGAAGGATTTTAGGTGCCCCCCCCACCCCGCAGCGTGCACCACATGTGTTCAGTGTCTACAACATTAAAACCACAGACAATCCCACTGGCCCCCAAGAGCAGCGATGCCTAAATTCACACTGAACCCCTGAGCCCTGTTCTGTGAAGACCCCCCCCATCCCACGTCATTTACACCAAGCGCAGCGTGAGCGCCCCTGCTCAGCTCCTTCCCTGAGGGGCGGCAGCCCCAGGGGGAGGGAGCAGCGACTCTCTGAAAAGAGAACAGCAGGCGCCCCGGGCACAGCCGCTCCGGGGTCTTCGCACTGCGCGCTGCTGCTGCACAGAGCACCCTTCGAGGGGATGAGGTGGGCCCTGGGGGGCGCCAAGGCCCGGACAGCGCGCGGCGAGGCTTTTCCCGGCAGGGACAAGGAGGGCGGGCTTTCAGCACAAGCGGTCATAGCATCTGAACGACGTCCTAAAAGGCCGAGTGTGCAGTGACCGACCGTAACTCAGAACATGCCCGTACTCTGTGTGCACAAGTCCACCAAGGACAACACGTGAAGATGCTGGACGACTACTACTCATTGTCTCAGCCGTGAGGATGTCAAGGACGTGTCTTTGAAAAGAGCCTCTCTCTGGAGAGACCCGCACAGCTGCAGAGCAGCACAGGTGCCAGGTGGGTGAGGAGGGGCAGGAGGAGCCTGAGTGCCATGAACTACAATTGGAAGCCGGGATAGGAACACGGGGCTTCACTGTACCATCGTTCTCGCTGCCTGTAAACCCGCTCCAAGTTCTCCATAAGGAGTACAGACTCTGCTGTGCCCTGACTGGCGTGGCTCAGTGTGTTGGGCGTCATCCTGCAAAGCGGAAGGCCGCCGGTTCAGTCAGGGCACAGGTCTGGGTGTTGGGTTCCATCCCTGGTCGGGGTGTGTACGAGAGGCAGCCAGTCAATGCCCCGCCCCGCCCCCCCCATCTCTTTCACCTCTCTTCCCCTCTCTCTCCAAGTAAATAAATAAAAAATAGAAAGCAGACTCTACTACTCAAATCTGATTCCTCTACTACGCAAATCTGATTCCTCTATCTTCTGAAACACAGAAACTCCTCTGGGTCTGGAGCCAACCTCTGGAGCAAGAACCACTGTTCTCGTTCCTACAAAGTGAGGTTCAATCTACAGAGAATGAGCTGAAAGGACAGAAGACGTGGCCGGTGGCCGTACCTACAGAGAACACAGCCGCGACTGGGACCCCAGGAAGCGAGCGGAGACCAGAGGCTGTGCCGACATCACTAAGTCCCCAGAACCCAGACCTCCCACACAAAGCCTGAAAAGTCCAAGTATCAAAACACGCGCACCCACAAAACAAAAACCACAGAACTGTGACAGTGTCAGAGCAGAGCAAGGTGCAGACTGCAGCGCCTGGGAGCACAATGTTATGGAGGCACAATCGTACACGAACAAACACGCATCACAAACACACCCTCTCACAGACGAGGCTTACCATAGGGTAAACAGTCTTCACGCTTTCCATGCTTAAATATTTGTGCCTAAAAAAAAAAAAAGTTCCATTAAAATGTTGCAGGTTCATTTACAAATTTAAAACAAATTATCAAAACAATTCTTTGCACTTTCCGGAATTTTTCTTCTGAATACTCACTGCTGAACAACAGGTGAATGGTTTCTATACACGAAATAAGAAGGAGTTACAGAGACTGGAGAAGAAACTCTCCAGAAGGGCATCACAAAAAGGGGTGCGGTCACTCCTGGGGGGGGCTTCATTGCGGACATGTGCCCACGCTGACGTTGAGGGCACTGGCCTGTCGGAAAGTTTCTGCAGTTATCTGGGCATAAAGAAAGCCACCCAGGGATAAAAGCTGCAGGTTGGAGCATCTCAGGCAGAGGCAGGACCGAGGGCTTGTTCCTGAAGTCTCACCCACTCGCAGCCGACCGAGGAGGGAGGCCCCCTACTTCCAGAGCACGTCCGCCTCCGCCGCCGCCTCCCACCACCGGGCAGCGCTGGCCACCTGGGCCCACGGACGGACGTCCACAGGGGTCCAAGCGCGCCGTCTCCAGCTCCCCTGCCCTGTAACCAGGACCACCGCCGAACTCAGATCTGCAGCCCCCTGAATTCTCAACCTGAAATTTCACCCGACGCCCCGGAGTCTGGAAGACAAATGGGACGACTCCCACAAGCACCCGAGCCCCTGGACCACGGAGCACTTCTGAGACACAGCCAATCGAGCTCTTCCCCTTCGAAGAGAGACCTTAACTACTAAGGCGGGAACGGCTTCTGTTTCACGCCACCTGAACGTGCATGGCCCTCCTGCGCAAGCTCCCCGCCCCAACGGTCCATGAGCTGCTCAGCTGAGGCGGACAGACCTCCCTGACACCCTGGTCAGCGGCCTCTCGTTCGGAGACACCCCCCCCCCCACCGACCAGCCCTGGGCCCGTGCAGCACAGACGCCCAAGCCGTAGGGCTCAGGCCCCAGGCCGGGGCTGTCACCGCACACTGAACGCTGCGGCTTCCCCCGGAAAGGGCCCCCAGCTCCGCTGCGTGGCCGCCTCGCCCCGTCGACTCCCTCCCTAGGCCTGGATCACTCTGCAGAGCGCCGGGCCGAGCCCTCGGCAGATGTTACGCTCTCTCCTGCCCTTTCCACCGCTGCACTTCCGCCATCAACTCTGCCCTGGAACTGTGAACGCCCCAGAGGCGCGCGCTGCATGCCGACACCTCTCAGGTGGGCCCATCCCTGCCATGTGCTGGGCGCTGATAAAAGGCAGGGCGGGACCCTGGATGCCCAGGGGCCGCACCTGCAACACCCGCTTCGCGACTTGGTGCACTGTCTCGGCCGCGACAAGGGGGAAGTCACCTGGGTCCCTGAGCTTCTCTTCCCGGCAGAGCTGTGAAGAGCCAGGGGGCCGGCATGGCTGGGTGGGCCTGGGCACGAGCAACGCCACCCGGGGGAAACACCCGGGGCCTCGGCGGGAGAGTCGGAGCTGCACGAGTCACAGCCGCCATGTGAGACAGAGGCGCAGGGCCCCGGTCAGGAGGAGTGTCGGGCAGAATCCGTGCACGGCTCCTCACGAAGGTTCTGCGCTGCAGAGCCGCAGGCCAAGGCCAGCAATGGGCAACGCTGTTCACTGTCGGTCCCGGAGGCTGCGAAGCCACAACTTCCGACCAACACGGGGCCAGGGCTCCCAGCACCCGGCAGTCGAAAACGCACGTGTACCTTAGGTTGACCCTCCGCACACAGACTCCCAGCCGGAGGCGGCGGCGGGCACAGGGTGCAGGAAGAGCAGAGCAGGGGTGGGACTGGGAGACCCCGTGGAGAAGGGGCGGCAGAGGAAAAGAAAGGAGGTCCAGGCAGGCGTTACGGCCGCAAAGGGAACCAATCAAGATGACGACGCTGGGAGAGGGCAGAGGACATCGTGAGCCAGCAGGCACATGGAGCAGGTGGGCAGAGCGGGGGTCTCCGCAGAGGCAGCGCAGAGCTGACAAGAAGAGGGAGGCCCTCGCCTCCACCTACCGAATCCGCGCAGCGCTGAGCGGACGCAGCCCTGGGGAAACGCTGGGACGCTTGGCTTTAGGGCCGCCTCCTGAGACGGAGCTGCCTGCTCTGAACCCGTCTCCTCGGAATGTAACACAGGGCAATGACAGTACCTAGTTCTCTGAGCCACTTTGAGAACAAAATGCAAATGAATGTCAAATGCATTCGCCAAAGACGTCAGAAACGCCTCCTACCAAGTAAGTATATATTCCTACTGTTTGTCCAAAAACCTATTTTTAAGAACTCTTCCCTAGGTTTAATTTATGTGAAATACACAATCACAGTTAGTTTCCCCCACATAAATTCGAATGTGTGCTGTTTAATATCCTTTAGACACAAGCCATCCTTTACAGACAAGTACTCAGCAGCAACACTGGGTTCCTTCCTGTCAGGGACTTACGGCTTTGGAGAGAGCCAGAAAGCTCCACCACACCACCCGTAACCCCACGGGGGGGTGGGGGGGCGTAACATGCGATGCGAAGCCCGGTTGTGCCCGGGGAGGGGGTCGAAACAGCCGTCCGTGCGGGGCAGCTCTCCGGGGCGGACGGCAGCCCGCAGGCGAGCAGGCAGTGAGGAGGCAGGGCCCGAAGGAGGCGTCAGCGTGGAGCGTCAGGTCTGGGGGAGCAGGCAGGAGGTGCCAGGCAGGCACGCCGGTCCGTGCAGAAAGGGTGTCCACGCGGGGTGACTGTGCCCCCGGCTCGGCCCAGCTGATGCTGGCGCCCCGGCTTCATGACGGACGGCGGCTCCTTCCGCTCCTACGCGTGCAGCCTGGGTGAGTCCCGGGGCGGCCGCTGCGGCCGCGCCTGACAGTCCTCCACCCCGAGCCAGGGTCAGTGGGGTTCCGCTCACCAGCCCCAGCCACAGGCTTCCGGCGGCTTCACCAACAGAGCCTGGGGACACGACACTGTGACCCTGGGGCCCAGGCCACTTGCTCCACAGAACCTGCCCCTGGGACAACCCCGGGGAACCCAGCCGCCGCGATGGACAGGCCCAGCTGAGCCCAGGCCTGCGGGTCGTCCCTGCTGCGCCTTCCTCGGCCCCGGCCCCTGACCTCGGGGGCAGAGACAAGTAACCCTGGGCCCTGGCCTGTGGACTCACAGGACACACATGGACACTGGCAGCTATTTTAAGCCACAGGCTTCAGGGTGGGTTGTTAAGTGACAGATAACGAACTCCCTACTTAGAAACCATGGAGGGACTTGAATTTCATGTTGCAGGCGGGGCAGTGACTACCTAATCCTGGGCACAGCAACACACATGCACCCTAACTGGACAGACGTGCCACTGGCGGCAGAGCGGAGGACCCAGGGAAGGGGCCGAGACCGACCACGAGGGCCGTCCAGGTAAGCAGACAAGAGGACCCAAAGGAGGGCCGGACGTGCGCAGGGGAGGGCGGGCAGCAGCCCCAACGGCCAGGGTGGCGCCGCCACGGGCTGTCGCGCCCTCTGGGCTCCCTCCCTGAGGAGGAACCCTAAGTGCTCTGACGCGTAAAGATGCTCCGGCTGAGCACTCTTCATGTGCCAGATCCCTGACAGTAACAGGCCGGGGGGCGGAAAAAGCAGAAGAGGAACAAAAATGGATTCGAATGAGGGCTGTGGTTCTGTTCGCAGGTGTTTCTCACCTAAAAACAGAGGCATCGTCACTGCCGGTCGCCCGGGAGCACAGAGAGGACAGTGACTCTGGGCACTGGGAGGGAGCCCCTGAGCGGACGGGGGCGCCGACCTCCCGACAGCGCGGAGCAGCGCCAGCTGCGCCACGGCACAGCAGCAGCAGACCCAAGCCGCCCGAGCGGCCCGCGGGGGCACGGCCGTGTCAGGGGCGGCGGCCCTCAGCCACGCGAGGGGCCGCACCACGCCGCTGAGGACGCCTGCCCGGGCGTTGTGTTCAGAAACGAGCCCAGCACAAGGTGCAAACACCACGAGTTTCTTGGGGACCATTCTGACAGCCGCCCCTTTCGACGGCTCCGCTCCCTCGCTGGCCTTTCCCAATGTGCAAACCCACTTACCCCCCCCCAGGCGTCCCCGCCCCGCCCGGGAACTGCACTGTCAGCGGCTCGGGAGCAGGTCCACCTGGCTGCCAAGCAGGAGAGGCTGGTCCAAGGCTCCCTGAAGCCCCATCACGTCAAGGCCAAGAAAAGCAGCTCCAGCCCAGGCCCGGGGAGAAAAGGCCCCCGCAGCACCTGTGAATTCCCCTGAGGTGGCGTGTGCGGGGCCTCGCCGGGCCCCTTGCTGCCCTGTCTCTGGTCCCTGGTCCCTCTGAAGACACCTAGACCAGCAGACAGGACAGAGCTGGGGAGGAGCAGGCTGCCTGGTCTGCGTTCCCGAGTCAGGTCCCCGGGGTGAGCAGCAGCGCCATGCCCTGTCTGGACACACAAACGGGAGGACACAGGCAGGAAGGACCTGAGTACCACGGCAACCCATTCCCGGCTGGACGCCTCCTCAAGCCCGCGATAAAGCCCACCCAGGGCCCCACCTTCTGCAAAGGGCAGCAGCTGAACAGGGCATGAAGTCCTTTAGGCACTTCACACAGGAACATCCAGCACCGACCACGCCCCCCGCCAGCAGACCCCTCGGGCGGCGCCAGGGGAGAGCCCTCCCACCACCAGGGCTGGGGGCTCTGTCGGCTGGAGTGTGAACGGGAGGGGCATCAAGGGCCCAGCCAGCTGCCCAGGGCTGGCGCCGGGTGGGGGCACAGCCACACAGCACGGCCTGTACCGCAGGCCGTCCAGGACCAGGTCCCAGCCAGGGGCCCCAGGGACGCTCCCGAGGGGGCGAACCCGCCAGACCCAGGCACATCCAGCCCCAGGAGTGGCAGGACCGCTGTTCTCTTCTCCCGAGGGCGAGGCCCGTTCGGTTTCTCAACCCTGTGTAAATCAGGAAGGAAAAAACACTTCCAAATGTGGAAAACTTAATCGGAAGCACATTTTCAATGGTTAGGATAAATGGCTGATTACAATCAGCAAGGACCAGAATGAAAATAATACAATTTTTGATCAAATAAAT